TCTCTCTCTCTCTCTCTCTCTCTCTGTCTACCCCTTTCATTTCCCCCTGTATTCCATTATAATAATATACATAATTTCTACGGCAGAGTTCACGTTAACAAATATAGCATTTCGCCAAGCACGTCAGAATTTGTATCTCTTGTGCAGATCTATTGAATTGTGCGTCGGATTATCATCCACTCTCGTGATGTCCTTTTCATCGAAAATTCTTTTCTTTCAGGCGTTTCTTTTCGATATTCTGTCAGTCGATTCGCCATGCTCTTTTACGTAACGCTCGTCCTTTCCAGTTGCCGCGTTCTCTCTTTCTTTCTCTCTCTTTCTTTCTCTCTCTTCATATTCCTCTCTCTCTCTCTCTCTCTCTCTCTCTCTCTCTCTCTCTCTCTCTCTCTCTGTCTTTCTATCTCTTTGCGGACATCGAGAAATAGTAGTTTCGTCATTTCTGCAACTTCGACTCTGGCTGCCCGAGGATTTTCAATATCCTCGCAATACGCGGCTCTCTTTGAAATTCAGATATTGCGAGCAAAGAGCCCTTTCGGCGGTAGCTGCACCTCAAATTTGCACAGTCCAAGCCTGCAAGCAGTCGAAATCATTGCGTCCGCGATATCCTCGCAACACGGTCCTGTCATTCATGTACAACCAACAAGTACAACCAACGTGATTGCTCTGTACCCATGGGAAAGATTCTATTTAATCGTGTGAGCTTTAAGTGTGAGATCAGCTTTACGATTAATTAATTTTAATTAAGTAATTTTAATTAAGTTCGACGAATTTGATTTTCGACAATTCAGATGATGTAAGAATTAAGAAGGGAAGTACACACACACACACACACACACACACGCGCGCGCACACATATAATTTGACGAGAATTTTCTTTAATGATTAACATTACAATCAATCAAATCATTATTCATATACTGGGAAAAATATTTTAATTAAATCAGAAATTTCCTAAAAAGGAAATTTTACAAGAATGGCATTTTAATAAAATCGAGCGAACTTTTTGATTTTACAATTAAAAATTGTGTTTGTCTTCTTTATTAAATATTATTCTTTAGGCCTCTACTATTCTTTTTGTTGATTTAATCAAAACAAGAAATATCTAAATACTAATACTTTGATCGAATATAGGAATATTTAATTAGATTTATTCTCATCGATCTAAATTCATATCATACTGTTAAGCAAAACATTTGTTTCAATGCAGCGAACTTTACTCTCTTTGTTCTCTGCATGAAATGCAGCGATAACAACGTCGAATTTATATATATTTTTATAATTTTTAGAGTATTTAAAAATACAAAATTTAAATGAAACAAGAATCGATCCTAAAATATTTTTCAAATATACAAGCGATGAGTTCATAATAGAAACTATTAACTCTCTCGAGCTATTTACTCGCGAGACTTTAGTACTAAGCTAACAGTGAAAGAATTAAAGTACGATGCGCGTGCGTTTCATATTTAGTAAATGCATTCTTGTTTCATGCAAAATGCAATTTTCCGGAAAATGTTGAAGAATACATTCTCGGTATAATTAAGGAGATGCCAAAATTTGCGCCCTTATCATTAATGTCATGTCAAAATTTTTACTTTACATTGCATAAGAAATTTTAATCTTTTTTGAGAAAGTACATAAAAAATTGATAAATAAGTGATTATAGCAGTATAATTGACTATATTTGCATAGTTAAAGCAATTATAAGTATATAGTTGTCAAAAAAAAGACTTGTTAAGCAATTAAATTACAGTAATTGCAATAATTTTTTTCTCTCGGTGTAATTATTTCGATGATCCAACAAAATTAGTTTCAGATCTGTATCTAATTAAATTTTTAGCTTCAACGAAATCGTTCTTTCAGTGTAGGATTCTAAAACTTCACGAATGGGATTTCCCCCGGTTTCGTTCTAAGCAAGGCCGAAGTCCGATACTAATTTTCTCGAGTATTTCTCGCATCAACCAACGCCGAGATCCGGCTGACGAGGGTCATCGAAGACGTTCCTCGAACACGATCAATACCTGATATATCACCGGCGTGGCAAAAAGGCGTGGAGGACACGAGGTACTTCCCGAGAATGAAATCCCGTCATCGACAACGCGCGACGTCTGCAACGGTGGATCGACAGTAATTGGCGGCTGCCGGAGTATGCCGTCGGTTGCGAACTTTGAACTTTCGAAAAATAGTTGCGCGACAATCGATAGGCAGGATACCTTAACGAGACACGACGAATGGGATTCGAGGCTTTTAATTGCGACATTTCGCGGCATCGACCATGACGGATTTATCTTCGTGTCGAGAGGATGTCGCGGACGCTCACGAGGGAGACAGACACTGACAAATTCGACGACGACGACGACGACGACGACGGAAAGGGCGAAGGGGGGAGGGGGGGTGAAACCGGGTGGTGCCGTGGGTGGTGCTCGCGTGTTTCGCGAAAAAGAAAAGCACGGAAGTTCAGCGCGAGTCTCTCGGCGTAACAGGTGGTTAAACAGGGCTGTAAAGCAGCTTGCAAACGGCGCGATAGGGGTGGGAAAGGGGGAGAGAGAGAAAGTTGCATCGGGGAGAAAGTCGAGGGAAGGGTTAAAAAGGTCGGACTTCGCGAGGTGCAGCTGAGAGATCGTGGCTCCTCCGCTACCCCCCCCCCCCCCCCCCTCCCCTTTCCTTATGTTCGCGCAACACGAATTAATTGTCCGGATTATATTTCGCGCGTCGTTCTCGAAACTTTTGTTACGCCCTTCGCGAGAAATCGGACGAAATCGTGTTTCGCGGCTGGAAAGAAAAAATACGATCGGTATACGTTATCAGTAAATCGAAATTTATCACGATAGAAGATATTTAGGGGATTATCGCGAGCACCGAAATTATATATCACCGTAGTTAAATTTAATTGGAGTCGGAAAACGGGCTGTGCAAAATTCACGTTTTTAGAGAATTATCGCTCAGCACAATAATAATGATGGCAAAAACCATTCCGAGCGATTAGGTATCGCAATAATTACACTGAAAAAAAAGTCTGGCAGCAATAATCAATTAAGCCTAGATAATAATATTACTAATAACGTTTTTCATTGACAGAACTAATGCGCTCTCATTTTTTAAAGCCGCTGTACACAAATCGACCTAAGGATGTACGTTTAATAAAAATATAGAAACGAGTTAAATCGCGAAATCCTCAATATATTTTATTGTGTTATTTGATAAAATATACTTTGGGCATTTTATTAATTGAGATATCTTCTCACTTTTACATTCAGATTATAACGGTTTAATGTGCACTGAGTGCAGAAACATCTGCAGTTCTGCCAATGAAAAATACTATAAAGCCTTTGGTGAAATTATTTCAATATAAAATGTTTAGTTAATATACTCAACTAAGCTAATTTTATTTTTCTCACTATTATAGCTTATTTTTCTTATTATCCAAAGGATATATAATTATTATCCAAAGGATTGATTATTATCATTAATATCACTAATATTTATTAAATTAGGCATGCGTGATAAAATATTGTTTTTAAATTTTTCAAAAGAAGCGAAATACTTCAAATTGCAAATGCTTTGAAACATTTTTTGATTAGTCAGTTTATAAAATTGATTGTATTTAGCAAAGTAGTTTTGCAATTATTGTAAAATTCTTTAGTATGTCGGTCTTGTCCTTACTGGATCTAAATATAAATTAATCATATTAAAGTATAATATTAAAAAAAAAAATCATATTAAAT